GAAACAACTGTATTTAGGATGATAGCAAACTACCAGTAGGCTTTTTCCCACGTAGTCTGACATCAGGTAACTGCTTCCTTTTAAGCATTCCCTGCAGTGATTTAGAAGCAGCAAACAATGTAAAAATTGTAGTTGTGGGGAGGACAGTTCATTTAAAGGCAGTAGACATAGACTAGGTCACCATGCCACAGATGCAAGGGCTTCTGATTTCTATTTTAATAGAACATCCAAGATTTAGACTTATAATGTGGGTAAGATGGAGTTTCCAAAGCATAATCACAGTTGACAGAGATGGCTGTGAAATACAAGGCTGTAGCACCAGAGGAATACTGTCAGACTACAGAGCGTAGGCAAAACCAGTTAAAAAATTATGAAAACAGAAGAGTTGTGAAGTAAAATTGTACCACAGGTAGCCCATTTTAGTAGTAGAACACACGGCTTAGGTAGAAGAGAGTTTTGTACTTTTAAGAGCAAATAAGAGTAATTTCTTGGCAGTAGGGAAGGTGGGGAAAGCAAATGAAGTTTTTGCTTGCTGTCTAAAGGGAGTAAGTTGACAGATGCCTGGAACCAACATAAATTTCCCTAGGGAAGAAAAACTACTGGAAAAATTGAAGATTGCTTTGGAGCAGGTGAACCAAAATGAGTGCAGTTGATGAGAACACAAGTTCTCAATCAGTTGGGACCTGCTGATTTAATTTTAGCAGTGGAGAGCCACATGAAGCAATTGTCTAGAGCATAATGCTGTCATCGAAGAGGTTTGCTTCATGGGTCTGCTTGATTTGGTAATAAAATACAAATAGAGAAAAATTGAGTTGTAAAGCTAGAAAATATCTTTGCAGTAATTTTTTACATGAAGAAACTGAGACCTGGCCACAGGAAATAAGCAATTTGCCAAAGTTTTTAAGTCAGGTAATAGCAGAACTGGGAATAGAGAGAAGGCAAGAGCCAAGTGCTCTCACATCCACTTGAAGCTTCCCTATGCATGTACTCCAAAAGCTTCTCAGGCGCAGCATTAAACATAGTCTGTTATCTCAGGGAATTAGAAGTGAATTAAGAAAAGGAATAAAGGATGGTCCTATCAGGAACAGACCGATAAAGGGAGAGGACAAAGTAAAACCCGGAGTGAAGAATTTTGCAGAAGAGGCAGAAGTATAGTTGGGAAGAAAAGAAAGAAGAGAAATAGTTGTTGTTTTCATTATTGCTATCAAATAGTTACATGGCATTTCATCTTCAAAACCTTTGGAAACTTTAATAAGTGTCAAATGTAGTAAAAATCTAAATTGCATGGGTAACCTAGGAAAGTAGATTGTGAAGGTTTGTTGAGAAATGGAGAAAATAATAGAATTCTCCTATTCTGAAACATTCTTGAAATTGGCTCTATTTGAAAACAACCCTCTCTCTTATTCATTCATTAGAAGACAAAAGCCTCGTTATGATATACTTCCTGTTCGAGCTGTTGACATTGATAAATGTAGATAGGATCAAAGGGTACAGAAAAGAGACTACTGATTTTTTTTTGAGGTTCATCTTTTGCAACATATGAAAATGAATAGATTTGGGATATAAATTACAATGGACTTCCCCCACCCCACCTTTTTTGGAGCAGTACTGGGGTTTGAATTTGGGGCCTCATACTTGCTAGGCAGGTGCTCTACCACTTGAGTCATTCCATCAGCTCACAATGGATTCTTTCCCCTTTTGAAAATTCCATGTGTGTAACAGTACATTTTTCCCTTTTTAAAAGTTCTATGTCAATTCAGGTTTTGTAGTATTTTTATTCTTCATGATGTGAATCTCTACATTGAAGTTAAAATGGAGCAGTAAAGGAGCAAAAAACACTTGTATATCCCATACCTGAAGATAAATGAGACTTAAAAGCAGAAGTCATTACAGGAGACATATCCTTGTTGCTTAAAGATTTCTTTATTCACTCTTGCATAAAAAATAGATAATTCCCACCTCTTAAGAACTGAGTGATGTGATATTCTTGTTTCTAATGGGCTAGGATTTTTTTTCTCTCCAAGTTGCACCTGTGTTTTCTGGAGCAGTTCAGCAATGGAAGAAATGACACTTTCATTCTTGTAATGAGGCACCATTTAGCAGAGGCCTTTTGTAAGGGTGTAATTTTAAACTTCATTACAGGCCGAGACAGCCACACCACCATTACTCAGGAAGATGTGCTTCTGTTGTAACCCTCCAATGGGCCTTACATTTTTAATGCATCGTGTTAGAATATTTATGAAATGACATTGCCAGTGGAGGGCCTTTGTCTTTAAAACATGGGTCGCAAAGGATGCTAACTGAGGGTTCCATGCCTTCGCTCGAGACCCTCCAGTTCAAAATATAAAAGTTAAAATTACATACTATAATCTGAAACTCATTCTGATTTGGTCCTTATTGTTAGCAAGGTAAAGGAAATAGGTATTTCTGTTATTCATATAACAGGAATAGGAGTTATAATTTTTTATCAGGAGTTATAATTTTTTATCATCAGAGTAAAATGCAAGTATGAAGGTAACCTGCTAAATTCCACAGTAGACGAGAGTGAGCATACATTGATTAAATGTCTATACTCTGGAAAAAGTGTGTTTGTGTACTTCCAGCCTCAGCCTTGCTAGTACATTTGACCTCAGAAAAGTATTTAAAAATCCTGACTTCCTGATAAAAATATTTCACACTATAAACTTTAATCCTGCTCATAAACTATTATTTCATTCAGATTGGAAGCTTTAGTCAAAAAGAATCCAGGGGTGGGAGTTAGGAGACCTGAGGTTTATGTCTAATCCTAGGCCTAGGGTCAGCAATGGAGGTATGGATTCCTGTGGGAGGGGTAATCCCCACTGGCCAGCCTGACGCCTTCCCTTTGACTGTCTGTCCGTAATCCTGACCCCTCAGCCCTTAAGTGTTCAAGACTGCTCCTACCAGCAGACCTGGGGGGTAACTCTTGATCATGATGTACAAGGAAAGGCTTGTAGACATAGGTTCAGCCATGAAATTGTGCATGCCCATGCACACACACATACACACACACACACACACACACACACACACACACAACATAGGAGTGCTTGTGCATGTACTTATACAACATTTTCAAATGGGAGTGTTAGTTTCAAAGAATGATTAATGAGTATGACTACAGGGTCTCATGTTTTTCTTCATATATTTCTAATTTTAAGGTCTATAGCAGTATATGCTAAATTTTAATTTACTCTCTACGTGTCATGAGAAGATAGAACTATGTTCTTCAAAGTGCCATAACTGTATCCTGTTAATCTTCAAATAATAGCCTGTTAGAAGCAAAAACTTTAGTGAGAAAATATACACACTTCAAAGGCTTGGAATATGTTACAGATGATTTTTTTACTTAACACAATTTCCCTTTAATCTAGAGGTTTAAATAGTTTCTTCCTTGTAAGGTACTGTTCTTTTCAACTTGAGCCTGCTTTACATTATCTCTGTTTAATTCTGTGTGAAGTGAATGTTTGTCACCATTTGCTGATTTGCACTTAGAAGCAAATCCAGATATCCAGCCCACAGACTACAGCAAGTGCTGTAATTAAGGAATGAAAAGACATCTGTCAAGAGAGAAATGGCTCAAATGTGTCTGTGCTTTCTGCTCCACATCTTGACAGTGGAGCTCACGTAGCCTCAGAACTAAGATGGGATCCTGATAATTCTGAGTGTTCTCCACACTGGGGTAGCTTCCTGCTGAGTTTGCATAAATTAAAACCTAGACATTCACATAACAGGTGCTCAGTTTGTATAAGGAATCCTCACTGCTTCACAGGATCATCGTGGTACATTGGAGACAGTATTTACATGTTACAATTAAGTGCTTGTGTTCACCCCCTGCCACCCCCACTGCCCAATACCTTACCTCATTATTAGAAAGACTTGACCCATCAGAAATCCAAAACCTGTGTAGAATGAATGTGGTCCTTGGATGGGTTTGTTAAGTCTATATGATGCCTTAAAATTTAGAACTGGTTGCCAGTACTTGAAAATTGAAAGAATTCTTTAAAAATCCAGATTTGTGCATTATCTTTTTTAAAAATGAGAGGAATTGGTAACACTGTCCTGTGATCTCACATGGCAAGTGCCTGGGTTCACCAGGGCCCCTTCCCCATTTTCCTTTCCTGCACTTACATTCCATGCGGTCCCTCATTCCCTCTTCCACAGTCAAAATGGTGCATGCCTAATCACCTGCTAATGCCTTAGGCTGCCATATTTAACTTTCTGCTATTTCAGTTTTTTGTCTTAAAAAATGGGAACTGTATCTGGCACCTATTATCTATGCTAACTTTGACAATTACTGTAAATTTTTAAGAGCATTTCAGAGTAAAATAATTTATTGCTATTTTAACAAGCACATTTTAAAAAATGATTTTGTTTCATAGCTTAAGATCTCCACTCTAGCACAATACTACTGTTTCTTTAGTCAAATCTTAACTGTGTTTTAAATGAGTTTTTATTTGACACGTCTTTTTCTTAGAGAATTTTAAGTCTAAGAAGTCTAGAAACGACTATATCTTTATACATTTCTACAAATATTGTATCTTTATGTTTGTGTGTGTATATAGATGTATATATGTATATATATATACATATGTATAAAACCATGCTTATTTACTTAAGAATGTATTAATCTAGTTAATACATTTTTAGCTTTCAGTGATTGCAATAAAATTGCTGTTGCTTAAATTTTTTTTTTTTAGCAGTTTGAACTCAGGGCCTCACGCTTGCTAGGCAGGCACTCTACCACTTGAGCCACTTTACCAGCTTTCTTAAATAACTTTTAAAAGCAAGTTTAAGATGTTAACTTTATTTTTTGTTGTTGTTATATTTTTTGTTGTACTTTTTTTGAGACAGGTCTTATTGTGTAACCCAGTCTGGCTTCAGACTTGTCATCCTCATGCCTCACCCTCTCAAGTGCTGGAAAGAGAGACCACAATACCCATCTTGAATGTCAACTTCAGATGAATGATTTCTCTTTTCAGAATACGACAGGAGAATGATATGGTTGATTCAGCGCCTCAGTGGGAAGCTGTATTAAGGAGACAAAAGGAAAAAAATCAAGCAGATCCCAACAACAGGCGATCCAGACACAGATCTCGTTCGTATGTGGGCTCTTTTTATACCTTTACTCAAAAACACTGAGCTTGAAGTAGCTTGTGGATGTTCAGGTCTTTTAATGAGTTTTAATTCAACCATGAATACCTCACTATTATTTGTCATATTTACCTCTTTAGGTTTGCAACTTTCATTAGCTGTGTTTGAACTCTTAGAAGTTGGAGCACAGCCAAAACAAAATGTCATGGAAACAGGCTAACAAAACCATATTTGTGTGTGTTGTTTTTAAGCAAATGTATATGTGTCACTGGATAAATAGGAATAGTCTTCCTTTGTTCTGAAGCCTGGCTGCTGGTGAAATACCTGCTGCTTCTCTCAATTTGAGTCTGCAAAATTCTCTGAAGTCTTGTTCCAGATTGAGCCAGATGTGAATGTCTTGCCATCAAATTACCATTTGTGAGCCATAGTCAGTGAGTGATTCATTACAACCTGATGTTCGGATTTGTGTGCTCCTCCTGTTGCTAGGCAATGCCATGTGTAAGCACAATTACCACATAACAGTGAGATTGCCAGTCCTGCAAATTAATTTAATTTTCTTGGCATTCATAGAGTGTGTGTGTGTGTGTGTGCCTGTGTGTCTGTGCATTCAAGATTTAGGCCACCCTTTCCATCTAACAAAACATACCTTTTCTCAACTGAGCTGGGACTAACTGCACATCCTTTTGTGATCCAGAGTAGTTAGATGTATGCTGTGCTGTCGCTTCCTTGTGGGAAGAGAGATTAGGGCAAGAGAAAGATGCTGGGAAGTTGATGCAGAAATGAAATGGGTAGGGATGTGGGGAGCTGGAGGGAACCAGGCAGGGTGTCAGAGGAAAGCTGTGAGTGCCAGGTCAGATTAGCCTAGGCCAGGAGGGGACTACACCCCAGGAGAGGCTACACCCCTGGTCCCTGAGTGCTGTGGGATTTGAAGGGATGCTTCTTAATCTTAAAGCTTACCTTTAGAATTTAATGCAGAATGTACTTTTATTTTTATTAGTAGTATATCATAATAAATAATGGCTGTTTCTTTTGTAACAGAAAATCTAAAAGTAGCCACTAAGCAGTGTCCACCATTACAGATGTAATTATACTCTATAATGATTTTGTTGGGGCACCCTAATTAAAGTCAGAAGTTAATAAGAAGTTCATTTGTCTTTTTTTTTAACTTCTTTTTCTTAACTGTAGGGTTCTTTATATATCCCAAATGTGAGGTCTTTTTCAGATGCATGAATTGTGAATACATTTTTTCAACCTGTGGTTTGCCTTATAATGTTCATTTATTTAGGTCCTGGGGTTTGAACTGAGAGCCTTGCTTTTGCTAAGTAGGTGTTCTACCACTTCAACCACACTCTTTTTTGCTTTAGTTATCTTTTGGAAAAGGTCTTACTTTTTGCCTGGGGCTAGCCTTAGACCACAACCCTCCTACCTACGCCTCATGTGGTGCTGAGATGACAGATGTGTATTACCACACTCAGCTTAACATTGTTTGTTGATGGCCCATACATTTTAAATTTTAATGAAAACCAGCAAACATTTTTTTGTATATAGTTGTCTTTTTTTTTCTTTTTTAATCTTGAGTATTTTCTAACCCCAAGGTCACAAAGATAGTCTCATATCTTTTTCTAGTAGCTTTATAGATTTTGCTCTTGCATTCAAGTCTGTGATCCATCTAGAATTTATTTATATATGTATTAAGTTGAGATTGAGCAGTTGATTCCTCATGTTTATCCCGTTATTTCAGTGCTGCTTGTTGCAAAGACCATCTTCACTGAAATGCCTTAAAGCTTGTTGAAAATCAATTGTGAGCCAGTTTTGATTCATTGATCTATTTGTCTATCTCTAATCCACATGTTGTCTTGGTTGCTATAATTTTATAGTAAAACGTGGATCAGGCACTGTAAAACTTCCAACTTTATTCTTTTTCAAGATTGCTTTAGTTATTTTAGGTTCTTTCACTTTCATAAAACTTTGTCAGTTTTTATTACCTACCCCAAAAAGACCAGGCTTTAAATTATGATTGTTTTGAATCTGTAGATTAGTTTTGAGAACATTAGTTTTTTATCCATCCATTTGTTTTTCTTTAACTACTTTCAGCAGCATTTTGGAATTTTAGTAGTTATTATATTTATGGTATTTTGTTAAGTTTAATCCTAAATATTTAATATTTTAGTGATACAGAACTTGTACATTCTTAATTTTGTCAATTAAATTTGCCAGTAAACAGAAGTAGTTTTCCTTTATTTTGAATATTTTTTCCTTTTATTTCTACTTCTTCCATGATTGTACTGGCTAGCTCCTGCAGTACAGTGTTGAATAGGAGTGGGATGTATTTGGCTTATTCTTTTTGAAGGGGAGCATTCAACATCTCACAGTAAGTGTGATCCTAGCTGGAAGACTGAGGAAGATCCCTTCTCTTCCTAGTTTGCTGAGAGGTAGTGGAGAGTTTTTATCTTGAAGAGTTTTGAATTTTAAGCTTTTTCTGCATGCAAGCTGTTGTGATAGTTGTATATGGGTTTTTCTTCTTTATTTTGTTAGTGGAAAAATTACATTTATTCAGTTTTGAATGATATGTATTATCCTTTTTGTATATTGCTGGATTCTATTTTATATTATTTAAAAATTTTTATGCTCATGGGAAATATTAATCCATAATTTTCTTATAATTTTTTGTCAAGTTTTTGGTAACAGAGTTATACTAAAATTCAAAATAGTTTGGGAAATGTTCCTTTGTCTTCTGAAACAGTTAGTGTAAAATCAGCTTCAGGTGTGGCTCAAATGGTAGCGTGCCTGCCTAGCAAGCACAAAGCCCTGAAAAAAAAAAAAAAGTCTGCTTTATTTCTTCCTTAAATATTTCGTATATTTCACCATTGAAACTGTATTTGCCGGAAATTCCTTTGTGAGAAGCTTTAAATTACAAACAATTTCTTTAATGCATATGACACTATTAATATTTTGTACTTACTGTGTGTGAGTTTTGATAATTTATGTTCTTAAAAAGAATTCATATACCCACATCTAGGTCTTTTCAGTCTGTTTCTATTGACTCCTCCCCACCATACACTACGGTTATAGTTCTCTGACTCTGTGCATGACTAGTAATTTTTTTAATTGAATGCTGGAAATTTTAGGTAGCATGTTGCTGGAGGTCTGGGTTATGTAGTAGTTCTCTAAAACAGTGTCGAATTGTGTTCTGGCAGGCTGCTAAAATACTGTCGATTCTCTTGATCTTATTAGTCTTGTTTTGTGCTTCCACAAAGTGGAGCTTTTTATGTGTTGTTTGTTGCTAGCCTATGATAGGTTTTTTGCTATAGACTTGGTCCTTACTCCCAAAGCCTGGCCTTTCTGTGGTCTCTGTAGAGTACACACTGTGCCCAGCCTGGTTTCTCCACGTGACTGCAGCAATCTCCCTGTGGTGGCCCTGGCCAGTCTCAGCCTTGCAGGAGCTGTTCTGTGTGAGGCCTCTCACAGTGTCACCTGCTCCTGTGCAATTATGTTTGGTGGACATACCCAGCCAACTTGTTAAGGAAAACCCCCATGCAGACTTCTGGAGTCCTCAGAGCAGCCCCCTTTTCCTTTCATCCTGTGTCTGATCTCTGCCTCTTCAGTTCTTGAGGCTGTTGCTGCCTGAGCTACACCTTCTCCCTAGCACCGCTGAGAGGACACCCCCAGGCAGACAGCTGGAGGGTGGGATCCTTTCTCTCACAGATCACAGGCTTGTGCTGCCCAGTATCTGAAAACAGTTGCTTTGTTTTATTGTATAGTTATTGCAGATGGGAACATTCTCTGATTGTAGTCAGAGGAATACTCTTTGATTTCTTTTTTCGTTAGTAGAAATTATAGAAAATAATGGGTTTCATTTTGACATTTTCACACATGTACTTAATATACTTTGATCATATTCACCACCCATTTCCCTCTCTTGCCCTTCCTTCTTGCTGATCCCCTACAGAATATTAGGGTTTTTTTTTGTTGTTGTTGTTTTGTTTTTTGGTTTTTTTTGTAGTGGTGGTGGTAATACTGGGGTTTGAACTCAGGGCTTCATACTTTCTAGGCAGGTGCTCTATCACTTGAGCCACACCTCCAGGGAGAAATATCTTTATTGGAAACTGCTTCTATCATATCAGCTGAAATTGGGAAAAAAATCTGATGGTACTTGAAGTTTTAATATCTTATCTAAACAGTCCTGTAAGGTTAGCTATGTGTAATAAAAATATCAGATAGAGGATTGTCTCAGAACAATGCACTTGTATGAGATAACCCTCTAAATAGTTTGATGTGTATCCTTCTGGATTATTTATAAGTAAGCCATAAAAAGATTTAGCAAATGTTTGAGATGACTTTGTAACATGAGAGCCAATACAGCCAAAGTACAGGTAAGATGAAAAAAAAAAATCCTATTTGTGTGAATAGTGAGTGTTTCATTCAGAATTTACTCTGACTGGGTGAAAAGCTGATTAAGAAATAGTAAAGAAGCAGAAAGAGCATTTAGAAACTTTTTCAGTGGTCCAGGTGGTTATAGCTCAGAAAAGGTGGTGCTGGTGAAAATGAAGAACAGAATGAGTGTATGTTTTTGAAAAGTAGAGTTGGAAGGTGTGCAGTGCAAGAGGAATTATGGATGATGTTGAGCTGGTGGCCAAGTCAAATTCCTGAGAGATAAAGGAATTGGTTGGGGAGGTATGGGGGATGAAAATTAAGATTTCAGTTTTGTTAGGCAAATAGGCAACCAAATGGAAATGCCAAGTGAGCAATTGAGGCTTGAACTCAGAGCCTCACACTTGTAAGGCAAGGGCTCTGCCACATGAGCCGTGCTCCCAGCCCCAAAGTGTTATATCTCTTTAAGATAATGAATTACTTCATAGAGAACAAGCTGGGCAAGTTATGGCATCAAAGACCTGAAGTTTATCGACGAAGAAGAAAATCGCTGATGGGTGCTATTGTGAGTGCTCTGTTCACATTCTAGGACTCTCAGCTTTAGTTTATCACCTAATTTCCACACCCTTCCAGTTCCTCATCCCGCAGTGTGGACAGCACCATCCTCACAGGATCTTGCTGAACATTAAGTGAGGTTGTACATGGTTAAGTGTTGAGACATAATAAATAGAACGACAGTCACATTATTAAGTTTCCCAGGTCTCAGTTTAGTTACTTGATTCTTTTCCCCTTGAGAGGAGGTGAGAAGTGAAGAGAGTAGAGTAGGCCAACTTGCCTGAAGTTTTTAAATTAGAATTTGGTTCTATGAGAATGTAGGAATGACTACAACTTTCTTTTAAAGTAAATCATGGCCAGAGAAATATTTGAGGAAAGTAAAAATATTACTCTTTATATAAAAGTGTATAACAATAATATGTATTAATATGTGTATTTTGTATAACATATTAAATATCTATGTGTATTTGGCATTTCAGGTAATGCAGGAAACGTCAATCTCTCAACTATTCTTAAATTCCTGCTGCAGGGTATATAAATTACCTGTACAGAATGATCTACTGAGGGCCCAAATGTGATGATGTATCATTGTTCATTCATTGTGTTTTTTTAACGCCCAATGAAGAGCTAGAAAATTATATTCATTATTAAATATCAGAGACAGTGGTATGAAATACAAACCCCCTTTTTAAAAAATGATTTTATTAGCATATAATGTATGCTTGTACAGAAGTATACATTGTGATACATATTTGTTTAAAATATATCTTAGTTGGAATTTCAATAGGTTTCATTCTTCTATTTTCATACATGGATACAAAATACATCCAGTGTATACACCCTTACTCCCCCTTTCCGTCCTCTCCCACTGGCACCAACTCCCCCAGAAAAGGTTTATTTTTCCCTCCTGCCCTTCATTTTTTTTTTTTTTATTAAGTGTATATTGATAGTCCTGGGCGGGTTGCCTTGATACAAAACCCCTTTATTCAAAAGCATTAAGTTGAAACATGACCAGATCTTGTCTGGAAAAGCATTAAGAAGTAAATTTTTCAGCTCCATTGCCATAACGTTCATGTTTACTATTGTTGGGGGAAAAGTTAGCTTCATGGACACCGTTTTCTACGTGATTAAGCCTTTGCTCATCGAGCCGTGTGGAGGTGGCTTTGAAGCATAAACAATGGTTTTGCAGGTTCCACTAGCATGTGACCATGGGCTCGAGCTCCCTCTGGTGGCAGTAATGTCTTACACTATTTTTGCTGAAAACTACTGATAATGTGGAAGACGAGGTTGTCATGGTAAAGTGATGTTCCCAGTAAAACACAAAACATAAGACTGATGTACTGGATAGAGATTGAAGGCGAAGTTCCCGCACTGACCCCCGAGAGAACTTCAGCGGCTGGGACGCTGGGATCCATGGCTTCCTAATGGTTTTTTAATTAGGAGGGGGCAGGTGGGAGAAGAGTAAGACCTCTCATTTTATTTGTTCAAGAACATGATGATGACTTACTGAGATATGTAAGTACCTTGAGTTCTCTAAATAAAGATAATTTTTTCAATTTACATATTTCCAACTCTAAGTTCTAAAAATGACAAAATCACATATTTCAAATGCTGCCATTTATTTTAAAATGTAATAGAGTACACAAAATACAGTCCAGTGTGTATCATGATATATACACATATTACTGCGTAGTAGATAGTTTTTGAGACAGGGTCTCACTGTGTAACCCAGTGTGGTCGCAATCCTCCTGCCTTAGCCTCCTGAGGGCTGGGATTACAGGTGTGGGCCACCACACCTGGCCTATTGCGTAATATTTCTTAGATAATTGGACAATTTGGAGGATACACAAAAAGATTATGTTCAGTGATGGAGTTTAAATCATTTGTAAATTTATGAAGTAGTATCCTTATTTGGGGGGTACAAGGTTTTTGTGTATGAGGTGTAGCTGAGGGATGTTTTTGAAAAATATTGGACTAATATTGAACTGCATGTTTATTTTTATATTTGTCACACCTATGGGCATCTCGGGACTCTGCTCAGGGCTTCTTTGGAAAGTTTAAGTAAAACCTCTGCACAATTAAGGATGTTTTAATTAAGAAAAATGGCTGCAAAATTTCAGCTTTCTAAATTCACAAAATGGTGTAGAGCTGCAGATTGTGAATCCACCCTAAATTACTGATCAAATATGTGCAGAGGTATGCATAAAAGAATCATCCTCACTAACATGTAGCTTATGTTTACATCTTCAATCACAGGAAGTCTAGCAAAATCAGAGGAAACTGGCATCTGATTTTTAAAATTTTCATGGAATGAAATAATAGCTTAGTGCTTTTTAATATCAGCACCTTCTCTGACAGTATCACTTAATTAACAGACCAGCAAAATGTAGGGCCACTAGATTCCATTCAGGAAATCCTTCCAAAGAAGCAGATTTTTTAAAGCATATAATTTTATTATAACAAAAACATTTAGCAATGCTATTCTGGTTCTGAGATCAAGGCTTCATCCTCTTCACCCTCAGTTACAGGTACAAAACCCTGTCATGTAACTCCTTTTGAATTGATTAAAAGATCTTTATAACAGATATTTTCCCCCACAAAGGAAAATCATCTTAGTAAATTCAGTAACTAGAAGTAGTTTTCTGTATTCTGTGGGTTCGGAAAGGCTACTAGAATATATCCTGGTGCCCTTATTATCTGAGAAAAATGGAAGCATTGATGATCATACGTTGAAAGTGTTATTTTGACTTGAAAATGCTGATACTAATTATCAATGTAAAATTCCACAGGGTGGCATCTTCCAGTGGCTTTGCTTTACTCTTGGTCTTTTTAATTGTTAGGGTTTGGGACCTTTTTTGGGCCTGGTATTTAGACCTCTGTTCTCTTGAGGGAACGGACAAAAGGTTATCACCTTCTCACCAGGAAAACAATCACTTGTGGCAACAATTGGAGTGCTGATGGATTTCTACTACTCACTGCTACAGTGGGGATTAATAGCTAATACTATGGAGAATGTGAACACAGGAATACAGCCTTTGGATTTCTCTTCTAGGACATTAAAGATAGTGATATAATTTCTATTCAAGGAGTTCTTCAGGAGGAGATTTGTGGGGTCGATAGTTAAGGGGGGAGAAGAGCATGGAGAGGGTGGCAGCATGAACCAAGTTTTGGTGCAGAAATGCAACATGAGATGTCACATGAAAGATGGGTCATTGGTACACAGTCTGCCATCTGGGCTGTCCCACCAGTTGCTTTTCCCTGGTGGTTGTTACTTGTATTAGGTAACAACCTAATGGAATGGAATGGTATGGAATTCTTACATAGTAACAGAATCAGGATAAGGTCTTCTTTTGCCCTTTCTTAGACATAGCTAGCAGGGTCAGAAACCAGAGCCCCTGAGTCATTCTTCATTGTTCAGTTACTACTAGAGGGTATGTGGATATAGCCGTGGAGTTCAAAGCACTTTCATTCAACAAAGCTATGGTTATAGCTGGTTTTTATGTGATTTTTCTTCAGTGGCACTAGTCAAAAAATTACCTGGTGTGTCTTTGCTAATCATGCAATAGGTCTCCTTATGCAATCTTTCCTAGTCTGCTCTCAGCTGGCAAATAAGACTGTCACAGTCTGAAAACTGTTCAAGTGAGATATTAGATTGTAGATGAAGCATATTTACAGAGGTGAGTGTTTGCTGTTTTCTTTCTTTATAGGAGAAGTCCCGATATCCAAGCAAAAGAAGAGTTATGGAAGCATATTCAGTGAGTACTGGGGTTCCCCCCTTGCTTTAAAATCCATGCAGTTTTAGTACAATTTCAAGAAAAGCCACTGAGATGCAGCCTGCCAGCTGGTCTTCATGGTGTCATTGTATGTCATTGTATCGCCTCTCTTGAGCATTACTTGTAAATGGACCTCAGCCAGCAGTTTACAAAGAAGTAGGAAGGAAAATAAATCCAGAATTTGAAGATACCCACCACAGGGAGAGAAGCAGGTCTGTTGTAAGAAATGGGGGATGGCTGAGAGCATGCATGTAGAAAAATTGGAAAAAAAAAAAAAGGCAAAAGAGCTACAGGAAAGATTTCCTTCCAGTTTTCCTTGAATACATTCTTGTTTTTATTTTTTTTTAATCTTTGCTCCTAGCTTATATTAGTTTTACTAACACTGCAATTTAGGACAAGATTAAAAAGGGAAAACTTGCAGATTTTGAAAGATAATAGGTATCTTTTTTGCTTATTCCCTTCTAGAAAAGAACTCGTGGATCCATCTGGATTGTCAGAAGAGCAATTAAAAGAGATTCCATATACTAAAATAGAGTATGTCTTTGAAAATCTTGTCACAAATGTTTTATTACTGGTGAGGGAGCAATTCATTCTTGCTCTTCAATTGTGTTCCATGCAGTAATTTGTACATTATAACTAAAGGTAAAAGTGAATACAGGGAAAGAGTTGTATTTAAACTGTTCTTAGCTATACTCTAATCACTGTCATCTATTAGCTGCCCATTTGGACCAGGTAGGTACAAGAGGGCTTTTGATGAGTAATATCTATTTTTTGTTGTTGGTGGTGGTGGTCCTGGGGCTTGAACACAGGGCTTCATGCTTGCTAGGCAGGTGCTCTACCACTTGAGCCACTCTGCCAACCCAGAGTAATACCCCCATTTTTAAATACATTTTTTTTCTGAGATAGTCATTGATTGTATAGTTTATTTTTTATCCATCATTTTAGCAACCAGAGAATTACGTTTAACACAAAACCCTTTTATATAAGCCTGGAACATTTCCTGTCACAGAACCACTACACTGAACCTAACAGGCTTCATGACAGCATAGTCCCAGTTAGTCAGGGCCAGCTGTGGCACACCTGCTGAGTGTTCCGCCTGCTGAAATTGGGTAAAGGAAAGCTGGAGCCTACTTCATTGCTTTATTCCCCACCTGCAACCCTTGGCTCTTTCTTACTCAGAAAAATCCAGGCTGATATTCCTCAGATTCTCCCTACAATCTTTAGGCCAAAGATTAAACTTTTTAAAAATAAAGGTATAGTTGACAAAAATGTACATATTTTAGCATATAATGTGATATTGTAAAATGTTTACATTGTGAAATCGTTGAATCCAGCTGATTAACACATCCATCACCTCACACATCACTTGTTTGTCGTGAGAACATTTCATCTCTTAGCAGTTTTCAAGTGAAGAAGGAATTCTTAATGGCAGGCTGTTGGTAGCTACCAGTGCAATGCCATTTGTCTTGTAAATTTTTTCTCACACACTCCTGGAGAGAATTCAACTTTAAGGAATAGCGTCATTTAACGTTTGGTGGTTAAGCAAATATACATAAACACATGTACCACACATATTATAAAGAGCTCCATTTTCACAGATGGTCAAAGGAGCATTTTTCGGTTGTAAATCACTCAGGCTTTCAAAGCCCACAAGAATCAAGTTCTTCTAAAAACCAGTCTGAAAGTCATTATATTTGCAGTTTCAATATTCAAGAAAAACTCTGAATTCTCCTGTCTGGCTTTGTATGGTTGTTTCTGTGGTTTTTTGTTTTTGATTTGGTTGTTGCTTTTGGTTTCTTGCTCAGGACTCAGGGTGACCCAGTCCGCATCAGGCATTCTCATTCACCTCGGAGTTACCGCCAGTGCCGCAGGTCCCAGTGTTCAGATGGAGAGCGATCTGTTCTCTCAGAAGTGAAGTAAGTGTGCAGGTGGAGGACGCCATCAGCCTCATGGCTCCAGAACAGCTCAGTCAGTCCAGGGAGCTTTCTGCCATGATGGAAATGTTGTGTGTCTATACCATAGCCCTCTTGCAACTTAAGTTGAGTCTAGGTACTATCCTATTCATTAATTCTATTATTATTATCTTGGTGGTACAAGGGTTTGAACTCACGGTCTCATGCTTGCTAGGCAAGCTCTCTACCCCTTGAGCTGCACACCCCTAGGCCTTTTTGTTTTAGTTATTTTTTGGATAGGGTCTCATGCTTTTTTGCCCATGGCTTTATACTGTTATCTTCAGACTTATGGCCTCCCATCTAGTTGGGGTTGCAGGCACACACTACCATGCCTAATTTGTTGGTTGAGATGGAGGGGAGTCTCAGTAACTTTTTGTCTGGGCTGCCCTTGAACCTTGATCCTACTAACCTCCACTGCCTCATGGCTAGCCACTGAGCCTGGCCTATTCACTAATTCTAAGACCCACTTTCTTGCAGTTCAAAAACAGATCTTGTACCACCACTTCCTGTGACCCGTTCTTCAGATGCTCAGGGTTCCGGTGGCTCTACGGTTCATCAGGTTAGTAATAAGGAAAATTTAAGGTGTCTTACTGATGACAATCTTAAGAAGCATTTTGGGCTTTGGGGAGTTCCTTCAAATAGATAGGGCAATAAATCTTTAACTTCATTCTGAGATTCTGTATGTTACAAAGAATGTACACAAAACATGGAAGGAGGAGGGAGTGTGTGATGAAGAACCAAGGCACACATCCTGGAAGGAGTTATGGTAGGAATTAAGAGCTAGAGGTAGTGTAAGGTCTAAAATAGTCTGAAGTTTGGAGTAATGCCAAGGTTAATGAAGATTGTAAGATGATTTGGAGCCAGAATAAAGAAACAACATCTTCACTAATTAAAAAGAAAAAAAAAAACAAGGTATTTTTCAAGTCAGCGAAACAAAGAGAAGGTGTTACACTCATGAGAGGTGGGGACAGATGTTCTATTAACTGATGGGCAAACAGAAAAATTACTCAAGTTCCATTTTAGTGCTGTCCTCCTCATCAAAGGGAATTACCTTCATCCTGTAAAGGGAACAGTCCAGTGGCTAGCTGCCTTAACAAAATGAATTTAACCCTCAGATGAATTAGGTATAGCAGATGTATTTCTGCAGTTTTTGACATCATTCTTATGGTATATTTTTACTAAAGTGGAAAAAATATGGGCTGAATAAGACATTTGAATGGACTTAGAGCTAGTTAAACAACGATCACAAGAGTAAAGTTGCTGTTTATGGTGGATCAGTGTCAAGACTATTTGCAGTTTTGTGGCTTTCACTGTTTGGATCAAAGATCCCTTAGAAAAGCCAATTATAACTTCTGTCCCTGTCCCAATAAAAGTGAGTGTAAGCCCATACAGTTCTGTACATAATTTCAGGGAGTTCATGGACTACCTACAAAGCCTGACCCTGGTGGTACCCATCATATGCTGCCTTTACTTACCCTGCTTCATTTTCATCAATGACTTGAGCAAGGACCAAGCTGATTTAGTTTAGGTTCCGTAGAAACAGATTCCGAGCTGGAGGTCTATATGCAGGAAGTTAGTTGGAAAGTACTCTTAGGTATTTGTTGGGGAGTAAAAGAAGAGGGGTGCTCCAGGGAGGGGCATGACTGGGGTGAGGTGGCTCCCCAGCCAGTTTTGGGGAATTGCTCAAATTTGAGCTGTACATCAGCTGAAACTCTCAGCAGCTGTGGGGGACGAATGCCTCAGGCTAGAGCAGAGATCTGAGCAAACACAGCTTCTACAACAATCTGAATGTTATTTGATTAGGAAAATCTGGGAGGGCTATGAGGTTGTCAAAACAATGTTTAAAGTTGATAGCACTGTTTGGAATTACATTCATATTCATGACTGATGTTTAGGCTTTGTGTTCAGACTGACCTGCATCATTTGTCTCCTCATCTCTGCACACTACTCATGTGACTTTGAGCAGATTGCTTAATTTCTAAGCATCAGTTCTTTATAAAGTATAACTTACTTTTAAGGTTATTGTGATGATTAGTAAGTACTGTTATACTTTACCTTTCAGAGCTTTCTTTTTTGGGTCTTATAAATATAAGTTGATTTCAGTACAAACAGGCATTTTATTTTATTGTAGTTTTGTTTTTCCAACTACTCCAAACCAGTACTGAGAAATCTCAGAAGATGCAAATTATGCACAACAGAAGTTGAAAGAATAGCTGTCACTTTGCTGTGCATAACAACTCATGTACATCTTCTCATCAGTGTTAGTAATGCCAAGCCTGCCTGTGGAACACATTTGATTTCAAATTTAACTACCCAGTGAACACATCTAGGGAGTGATAAGCACTGAGCAGTCAGCAGACTATGGCACGTGAACCAAATCTAGTCTGAGTTTTTGTACAGCCCAGGACTAAGAACAAAGGGTTTTGTTTTTTTAAATAGTAATATATGATGGAGATAGGGTGTAGTTTACAATCAAGCCCTTTACAAAATAAATTTGTTGGTCCTGGCCTACCCATATCAAGGAGGCAAAACAATGAAAAATTAGGCATTTGAAGCAATAAAGTTCTGAATTAGAGAATCAACAGGGTGACCTCACTTTAGATAAGACAGAATAGTCAGAGGCCACCTCCAAAAGTGGCTTTTTGAAGCTGAGACCTGGCAGGTCAGGAGCCAGCCATGCAAGCAGATGGAAGGCTGATGTAAGCAAAGGGAAGAGCATGGGGGAAATGTTGACACTGGAAAGGGACTGAGTATATGAGGAGCCACAGAGCAGTGAGGGGGTAGGACAGGTAACAGAGGGCCTTCCTAAAATGCCAGAGGGAAAGGGTTTGGATTTACTGTTTTATTCTAAGTGCCAAAGAGGAAGCCATTAATCTGGCTGCCATGTGGAGAAGGGGCTGCAGTGACCAGTGGAAGCAGGAGGTTTGCATTGCCCAAGTTCCTGCATGATGCCAGAGTTCTGGTTGTGGATGCCCTATACCTTACCGCACCTTGAAATGCAGGCCAGCAAGAATGGGGTGGATTTGGGGCTAGATTCACTATCTTATTTCTTCAAGGTCTGTAGACAGAGGAGACACTCATTCCCAAACTGGCAAGGCAGTGTTTATTTTAGGCCACTTCCTAGCTTTACTGATGATTCTTCAGATATATTCACTTTTCCCCTCTCACATGCACTATTATCCTTCTTCCACAACCTTTGCTATTTATGAATCATCCATTTCAAATAGATTCATACTCCCCATGCTTAGCATTATTCCATTAGTGCTTTGTCAGCCAGAACAAATCAAGCCATTCATAGAAACATGTGAAACATAACTACCTTTAAAAGGGTAATTTGTTTTTAGCCCAATTGAAACTCAAAACCAACAGAAATCTAGTCAGGTGTTGGTGGCTCACACCTGTAAATCCTAGCTACTTAGGAGGCAGCGATCAGGAGGATCTTGGTTTGAAACCAGCTGGGGCAAATAGTTCCTGGGAGTCTATTTTGAAAAACCCATTGTGGAAAAAGGGTGGTGGAGTGGCTAAGTGGGAAGAACACCTGCTTAGCAAGCAGGAGTCCCCAAGTTCAAACTCCAGTGCTGCCAACTAACAGTAACAAAAAAGGTAGTAATAACATCGGGACAGTATAGCCCTCTTGATGTGATGGGGAAGGAAACATGCTTCTCAGCCTGATCTACAGACAGGAGGTAAGGGCAGGAACATTCAGCAGAGGATGCTGTTTTGAGATTGCTTTAGTAGCATTCTCAGGGTCTCTACCTATGGTCATGGGTTATGTACAGGTCTCAATTTCAGAACTCCTGGGTGACGCCCAGGCTCTGGTCTCTTAAGTCATCCTGTTTCTCTATGATGGAGCACTTGTACTGGAATTTTGAGCCTCCCCACCTCAACTGACAACCTCTAGTACCAAGTAACAGGGACCCCCCTAAGCCATTGTACTGAGATAGTTTCATCCTGTGACTACTGAAATTATCCAGGAAAATTATAAACTACTTCAAACTCTATTCATCTCTCTACCCTGCTTAGAAATGTAGGAAGACTTGAGAGCCTGGTTAAAGAAATTATCTGCCCAAAAATGACTTACTTGCATGAATTATCCCTAAATTTCATGAAACTGATATACACCGCTGTCAGACTGACTTTACATATTTAAGATTAAACACATCTTTGCCTATTTTGCACGAATTAATATTTAGAGGGAAAATTTATTGAACAGATACTGGCATAATGAAACAGAGTAATTATAACTTGGTGCTATAAATTTAAAAGAACCTTAATAATTTGTTCTTTTGGTTTTACCTGAGACAGGGTCTTTTTTTATTTTTTAAAACCACTTGACTCTGCTGTATTTTTTTCTTGTTTTTCAAATATTACTTCCTTTTAGAAAAGAAATGGGTCTAAAGACAGCCTGATTGAAGAAAAATCTCAGATATCACCAAGCAGTCTGGCTGGAAAGCACACAGCAAAAACAATAAAAACTATCCAAGCTGCCCGCCACAAGATAGAGACTTGATCCTGGTGAAGGGCCAGAGGCAGGAGTGGGGCATGTGTACCACTGGTACTTCTGAAACTGTGAATTAGATTACTTAAATATTTTGGGCCTGTTACATGTCTCTTCAGCACAAGAAAATAAGCATTTTTGCTTATTTAGCTTACTTGTGCTAAAGGGCCTTTCAACTGGAAGGACAGTAATCTTACAAAAACCCACCTGATACCATTCTCTGTTCTGAAACTGGAGTGCACCCACCCAACTCCAAGTCTTCTCTGCCCACCAAAACCAAGACCAGATGCTTCTGATCAGAGTTCTGGAATCCTGGCCTGCAGCTGGCTTGCTGTGCAATAGTACACCAAGGGGGAGGAAAGAGTTCCTTCCAACACTGGGTGATTTTCAGCTGGTGCTAAGGTGTTCCAGGGCTGAGGCATCAGACTAGGTATTTTTATTTCAAGTTCTTTGTAATATTGTATGATGGAGCATTAAGTTCCACTGGTTATTTACAAATGATGTTAAAAAAACTGTTTTTAAGTGTTGCTTTTGACTTCTAGTGTCCTTGTGTTTTCTGAAAAAAAAAAAAAAAAAAAAAAAAAAAAGAAAAAGAAAAATGGCTATGTGTGGATTTTAGCTGTCCTACTCTGGCCAGTATCTCACCTGTTTCCCCAGTGACCTGTTTGGATTTTTCCTCTTTGTGTCTGACTTTTAAACCTACAGGGAAAATACTTAAGGCAGTCCTCCCCTCAATTGCCATTACCCCTAATTTTCTAGTTGTCTAGGAGATTCCCATGCTTCAGATTCCATCTCTCCTAATTCAGCCTCTTTTAGCCATTATCTCAGCCACATGGTAGCAACCCAGTTTTTTATAACCACTGATTCCTCTCTAGCTGGCTTTTTTCCACTGTCAGTTAAACTTTTGGAAAGGAGTTTTAGTGTCCTCAGCTCTTCCCTGCCTCAGTGCAATCCAATTTTGTTTCTACAATTTGACCATCCTTTGCAGCTCATGCTGTTGCTGGAGTCATCAAACCTCAGACCTAGGACTTCTCTACCCCACATCTCATTTATACCCACAGCCTTAACTCTGTAGTTTAGACTACAGTAGTGTTCTACCAAGAGACAACTTAGATTTCTCGAAGGCTACAAGTAAATGCTACCCCCCTCCCCCACTGGACTTAGGGCCACAACGGACACCCCCACTAACTCTTGTTGGCTTTGTCCTTATTTTAGCAACACTGGTCCAAGCTAGTCATTCTGCCTATAGGCCCACCTGCTCTAAACTGTCTTCTAGATTTCTATTTCTTGCTTTAAAATAAAGCCCAAGCCTTAAGTGGTCTGGTGTCTTAACCTACCTCCGCAGCCCCATCTTCTGACACTCCCAGCTCCTACAGCAACATGGAGCCTCACCTCCAAACCAGAGCACCGAAGAGGGAAAGCAGCCAGTTATTAGAGAAGCAGACTTGGAGTTTTCTTTTTCTAGCCCAAGGTTTCTCTGCAAGTTCCTTCCCAATTTGTCTTGGGAAAAAAAAAAGACACCTACCTTTAGTCTCAACTTTGCTTTCTCAGGTTTCCCTGACTTGGTCAAATCCTATCATGAGATTCATCTTACAAAGGAAGCTTTAACTCTGTGATGCTTGCTTCCAGAACTGTGTTTTGCTTATAAATGTGTTCCCAGCTCCTAGTACATTGCTTTAAATAAAATTTTCTGGATACTCAAATACACTACTTATTCTTTCCTGCTTCTGAGAAGATATGCCAACCTTGAGTGCACACACAAAAAAAGTACAAAGAATGCTTTAAAGCACACCTATGATCCAGCTAGGTTCGTTCTGTGATGTATGAGTGCATAGCCGAAAAGCCTTGCCAGCAGCTGTCATAAGGTACCTAGTGACCATGAGAGCACTGACTATTAATTTTAGCTGAGATTTCACATAAATTTGGAGTTGTTTCTAATAGACACTCAAAACGTAAGTCTCAAAGGAGCACACTGAAACATTTATTCCTGTCCTGTCTTAAACATATATTCAGGGACCCTCCAAAGACAAAGTACTCTTCAGGCTTCAGGAAATCTTAAGTGATCCAAGCATCTTTTGAAGATCAAAATCCTCATCAAGAACATCCTAAAAATAAAAGATAAAAACAGTCAATATGAAACAAATATTTACCAGTGTCACTTCTAAGCTTGCAATAGAATATCCTCATATTACATTACTGACAGTCACACCACTTCTGGATTCAACTATAAATGCCAATGTACATTTGGCAAATTTTGTCTTTTACATTTAGCTTCTACACATAGAAATAAATATACAGGGGCAGAAAGCCACAACTATCAATATTTACTAGTTCTCTCCAGTATCACCTACTTAGGGGGCAACAGGTTATCCCTCAATTTGATGTTACTTCACACACAGAAGTATTAATGCTAACGGGCCATTAACAAATGCTTAAGTCATCCCAATTTCCAAGATAATATTCCCATACAACTTCCTTATCACCTTATTACCTTTGAGCTTCCACGTGGTGCTCAGACAGTAGTAGTCAGCTTCCAGCACCCATCCTCAACCTACACAAAAATTAGTTGAAACTGGTTAAAGCCATACACTCAACGTTGGCAGACTCCAAGATTACTTATGTACACAAATTAGTACAAATGCGTGAAATGTTGCTTATGCAGGTCCTACACCAAAGATACCAAATTTAAGGGGAGGAAAAGACTGCAAAGCATTTATTTACGCCTTTTTTGACACCACATTCACTAGTTTCCAAAAGTGAACGGGCAACACAAAGGCTACATAAAAACTGCCCACGGTCTCTCCACGCCCTAAGGCTGACTGGCTCAGTGCAGTTGTTGAAAGGGAACTAATCCCAGCTCTTGATTTCCTCTTAGGATTCAAAACCAGCCTTGTCTTTTAAACAAATGCATAGAATTCTTTAAACCACGAGGCACCATGCACAACCATGAAAGCTTACCCACGGCTGGAGACCGCATTCGGTTCCCGCAGCTCCGCACGTGGAAACGGCTGCAATCGCGCGCGTCTCCAGCGGCCCTTAGCGTCTGTCTTCACACCGCGGTGGGGCGGGCGGAGAGGCTGTGACACCGGGGCCTGTCCTGCTCACAGGACAAACATATCCGCTGGTATTTAAGGATCCCTAACCATCAATAAAAGCAAATCCACTTCGTCTCCCATTTCCCGGGAAGGCATTACAGGCCAAAGGCCGCCTCGGGGAGCGAGGCCGGGCTTGGGCCGCTGCCCTCCGCATTCACAGCAGTTGCCGGGGCGCATCGCTAGGCCCCGGGCGGTCGCGTTCTCCTGCCTCGGGTGCCCGTGGTGGAAGAGCCCCCGGCGCGGGTCGCCCGCCATGCAGGAGACGCCTGCAAAACCACCCAGGCGCAGCGTGGGGAGAAAGGCCAAGCCGCCGTCCCACAATGCTTTTCTACGAGCGGAAGAACCCACTGTCTGAGGGGCGCGGGGAGGGCGGACTGTACCATCGCCTCCGCACTCTCGCTTGCCGCTGTGTGGCCGGAGGCGGAAGCGCTCAGCTAGATAGTAAGGCGCGCAAGGCTCGCGGAGTCCCCTTCGCGGTTGTGTAACCAGCGATTTCTGCAGAGGAGTCTTTTTTTAAAAAAAACAAAAATCTGTGTGACTCTCCAACACTTCTCCTCCTAGGGTCAATAGCATATGGTCAGTGCTGATAGTGGGAGCAGGTCAAACGACCTCAGACTCAGTGTTTTGGGACTTTCTCCAGTAGAGAAGAGTAAGGTCATTCATTAAAAAAAAAAAAAAAAAAAAAAAAATAAGAAGAAGAAGAAAAAAGAAAGCAAAAAATGAGATCTGTTAAAATTATTCCAGGAATTGGGCGAGAAGGGATAAAGGAGAAAGATGGAGCGGATGAATTCAATTATGGTATATTGTAAGAAGTTTTGCAAATGTCACAATGTACCCCCAAGTACAAAAATAATTAAAAAATAAAAATACTTAATAAAAAATTATTGAAAACTTACAATGCTCCAGGCTGTGTCCTAAATGCCCAGGAGTCGGTGTAAATTACCGGTCTTACCTTCTGGTTTGACAAAACTAGCAAATGGATAGTGTAATTTCACACAGCTGTTAATACGCAAGAAGAATCCAAAAGAGGGTAACACGGTGGAGCAGCATTGTCCAATAGAAACACTGCACTTGATCATAACCAAAGGCTGAAAAGCATTCGTCCAATAGAAATACACTGAGGACCAGGATTGTAATTTGCTACATTATAAAACATACAAACGGGTTAAAGTGGTTTTAGTAATAACCCAACCAACATATGCTGCATATTATTCTAACATGTAACCAACATAAAGTTATTGATAAGATGCTTTGCATTTTTAAATTCCTTCTAAACCTTTGATGAACATCTTATACTCCCAGCATATTTCAATTCAGACTAAGCTCATTTCAAGTGCTTGGTAGCAGATGGGGGCTAGAGAAAGAAAGTGTGGAGGTGAACTTTGAGTGAAGTGTGTGCAGATGTTCATGCAAGATCTGCAGACAGCAAGCTGTGGTCAGTTGGCTGAAGCGGAGAGAGGAGTGTGGTGATAACATGCATTAAGGGGACAGAAGCACTTCATGTAGAGTGGCAAGGATTTCAGACTTTATGCTGAAATTTTAGAGTTAATTATGGACACAGAGATAATGCTGATGTTGTTTGTTGCCTTTTTTTCTGATAACCACAATTCTTTGAAGACAGGAAAGGTAGTAAGACAAGCTGCATAGTAACAACAAGATCTACTTGTCCTATGAATCCTGTGAGAGTCTCATCCAAGACCAGAGTCATGGCACCTTTGTTTCTTCGAAACATACTGTTGTTTGAAAAAGAAAAAGAGAGTGAGAAAGAAAGAAAAGGAAAAAAAAATCTCTCAACTCATGTTGCATACGTTAAGTACTTACAACTTCTTACATGTCACTCATCCCTCAACAGGTGGTTTGAAAAAATGGGACTACATGAAATTTAAAAGCTTCTGCACAACAAAATAAATGGCCACCAGATTAAAGAGGCTGTCCACAGAAAGGGAGAAAATCTTTTCCAGCTATACATCTGACAACGGATTAATAACCAGAATATACAGGAAGCTCAAAAAAATAAACTTTTATCAATGTCACATTGTACCCCTAGTACAACAATAATTAAAAAGAACGAAAAAGAAATTATAGGCCCACAGTCTGGTGGATGTTATGCAAGAACTAGTCTGGAGGATAAGAACATAAACTTGGGGCAATGACTGTATAGAAGAAATAAAGGTGTAATGATCAAAAGAAGGTAAATAACTCCAGACCTGCTTTAGGAGGTCACGGTAACATCTAGGACAAGAGAAAGGTTGGATATGGAAAACACCCCTTGCCACAGGACTGTCATCAGGGATTCTAACAAGCTTTATAGTCTTGCCTTCTTGCTAGAGAAAGTCAGGGTGAGGAAAAGTCCTTGGGCTGCTGCAGCCAGCAGGTCTAGGTTGACATCTACCTCTGACACTTGCTGCCTGGGCCAATGACAACCACACTGAGCCCGAATTTCCCCATTTACAGGAAATATATATAATCATGTACTACAGAGGTTAGCTTAAAGAATGAAGAAAGCTGTGTGGAGTCGTCCAGAGCTGTGCCCAGTGCATAGTGACATTGTAAGTGACACAAATGAGCTAGAGTCTCGCTTGCTGCACTCTGAGCATGGAACCTTCTTGGATGAAGTTCTTAAGGAAGGCAGAGGGGATGCAACTGCTCTTTCAATGACTTTTGATTTTTGCTCCTTATTTTGCGCTGTACTCTTTTCTTCTCTATTTTTCTTCCCTAAACTTGGACAGTACAAGAGTAGAGGTAAAGCATTTGTTCCCATCTGAGATTAGTGCTGGGCTCAGGAAATCAATTCTAATTCTGCATTTTCCTGTCTGCCTCAACTCACATATTCAGTAATTCAGTCCAGCTGAGGAGAAAGGACATGAGAGGAAGGCAGGGGACGTCTTGCCTGGTGTTAGTCTTTCCATACTGTCTTAGTCATTATTACCATCATGCCTTTTTAATGCCCCTCAGACCAAAAGAATCATATGAATAATGTGTAAAAAGTACATAGAGGAAAACTTTCTCTTTACTGAGAGCATTTGATTTTAAAATATGGAGACTCCTCAAAAAACTAAAAATAGAACTGCCATATGATCCAGCAATATCACTCCTAGGATTACACCTGAAGGAATGTGAGTCAGGACACAGAAGAGACACTTGCACACCGACGTTTATCACAGCACTGTTCGCAATAGCCAAGCTGTGGAAATAGCCCAGATGCCCCACCACTGATGAATGGAGTATATATATAAGAAAATTTTATATATATAAAAAATATATGTTTATATATAAAATCTTTATGTATATAATATCTATATATACTTCTATATCTCTATATTATATATAAAATATATTTTTCTTTTATATATTATATATAAATTATATATAAAATTATATATATTTTATGTTATGTATGAGTTTTATTTATATGTGAGTTTTATTCAGCCATAAGGAAGAATGAAACCATATGGTTTGATGGTAAATGGATGCAATTGGAGGACATGATGTTAAGTAAGTCAGACTTAGAAAGACAAATGTTGCATGTTTTCTCTCATATGTGGGAGACAGACACAATACAAATATAATCAATATTATGAAAAACAGGATATGCTAATGTTGGGTCTGGAGACCTAAGGCAGATGAGTAAGCATCCCATCCCCCATGGAGAGCACTATGATTCCTGCATCCTGAGGAGTTAAAGGCCTCATTCCTGCACCCTGAGAAGAAGTTATAAATCTGCATTCCTGCACTCTGAGCACAAGATACAGGGTCTCATAAATCTGCCATGGGGCTGATAAACAAAATGCTCTCAAGGTTGTTACCCCCTCTCCCCCCAATAAGGGGCAAACAGACCAGCTCATTTCAGAAAGCCCACATGCAAATACATGGCCAATAGAAAAAAACCCACCTAACTCAGAGCTGAGATGCCTATAAAAGCCCCCACCCTCACCCGTGCAGTGAGCTACCAGTTTCCGGGCTCCACTGCACTGCTGTAGCTGTAGCCTTTCCTTTCTCTCTAATAAATCCTACCTCATACACCAGCTTTGGCTCACAAGCTGCCTCACGAGCCAGTTCTGTGGCCTATGAAGGCAAGGACCCTCGACGCCAGCACGTAACACTAAGGAGAGGACTAATGGGAAAAAGAAGGTAAAAGAAGGAAGATAAGAAGTGAATATGGTGGATGTACTTTCTATGCAAGAATGAATATAGAGTTTTAAACCTGTTGAAATCACCATAAGAAGGGGACTAAGATAGAAAGGAGAAAAATAGAGCTGGGTGCTGGTGGCTCATGCCTATAATCCTGGCTGTTCAGGGGCAGAGATCAGGAGGATCACAGTTCTGAGGCACGCTGGTAACAAGGAAGGCTCAGTAGGTCCTGTCTGGAGCTTGATACCAGTGGGAAGGGGGGAGGATATAAGAAAAAGGTGAAAGAGGCTGAATATAGTGGAAATATTAACTACTCATATATGAAAATTGAAAAATGAGACCTGTTGAAATTATTCTAGGAATGGGGGGAGGAAGAGATAAAGGAGAATGTCACAATGTACCCCCAGTATGACAATAATAAAAATAGGTCACATATTTTTGAGTGTAAAAATATGAAAATACTGAAGAATTGCTGCTTACTCAAGAACTATAGTGCACACACAATACTCCCAAGGTAGAAACAAAGTATTTAGAAGCAGCAATTATGTAATTCAAGCAGAAGAAAAAAGCTAATTATCCTAAAGCCCTGAGTACTTTGTAAACAATTTTTAAAATTCATTTATTCACATGTGCACATTGTTTGGGTCATTTCTCCCCCGACCCCCACACCCCTCACTTCCAGGCAGAACCTGTTCTGCCCTTATCACTAATTTTGTTGAAGAGAAGACATAAGCATAATAAGAAAGACAAAGCGTTTTTGCTAGTTGAGTTAAGCACAGCTATACAGAGAGATTCCTAGCATTGCTTCCATGTACAAATGTGTTACAACCCAAGTTGATTCATCTCTAACTGATCTTTACACTGGTTCCTGATCCCCTTCTCATGTTGACTTCTGTCGCTTTCAGGTTTCTGTATAGTTCCTCTGGAGTGGGGACATCAAAGCTTTCATGTTTTGGGTTTTCTACCTATCTCCATACCTCCTGTATGTGCTCTCTCCTTGTCATGTGATCCACGTCCAACCACATTGCTGTATTTGCCCTAGATCTACAGTCTGAATAACGAGGGAGAACATACGATTTTTGGTCTTCTGAGCCTGGATAACCTCACTCAGAAAGATGTTCTCCAGTTCTATCCATTTACTTGCGAATGA